GTGTAATCTCCGGATGTGGCGCTGGAGGTGTCGGGCCTTCAGTGTGAAGAGCTAACAACTGGGGAGTGGCCACCAAAACAGGGGATGCTGCTAAAGGAGATGCTGGCGATACGGGAAGCACCACTGGGCGAAGGTTGACCGTGGGCTGAAGCCACCGCCTCGATTTCAGTGGTACTATTGGATGGACGGGGTGTTGTTTGCCGTCATCGTTACTAGTGCCAGCATCATAGATAAACGGTGGCATAAGTGGATCGGATGTTAATACCCGAGAACCTGCGATATGGCTATCGTCCTTGGTGTTATCCAGCAGTAAATCCACGGGCCCTGATGTACCCTGCTCAGGATGGATCATAATGCTAGTGGTTTTAGTTTCCAGGACTTCAATGGACAAGGCGTCCGTCAATATGCTAGCCATCCGCCCGCCGTTTGCCTTAAGACTCTCCTTGTTCAGGGCTTCATCCGCCACAGCCGAATTATCCTGCCTGATATGGCTAAGATAAAGAATCTCTTCTGAGGGCATAGATATTAGCACGGAACCTGCCTGCTCAGGACTGCTCTGTAATTGTGCAGGGTTGTTGATCGAATCAACCAGCTTCCCAAAGTCCATAGTCGCGCCATCACTACATAGATCCTCCTCCAGCGGTGCATGATCCTCGAAACCAGATGCTGTCTCGCCCAAGGTGGCTCGTGTTAGCAGCGGAGTGGATTCCGCAATCGGGGGGGTTGTCCATTCGGGGCCCAACGCATAGTCCTCGTAGCCCGCCGATGCGATTTCTATGATAGAACGAGTTACCCAGTCGGGACCGCCCACTCCTGTTTGTGTTTGTATTCTCCAAGCCAATAGGATATGTTCAGACGGGATGATGGTCCCGAGACTGAATTCCACGCCGACAAGAGCCTTCCTCTGTGAATCTTCCCCGTCCGTGCTAGAGTGGATAACAAATTCCAAAAACCAAGCCAGCCAGATGCGTTGCCTATGGACAGAAATCCTGAGCTGGGACGCTTGTTCAGAGGCCAACACAGCAAGCGATATGAGGATTAGGATAGGACTGTATATGATAGTTGATGCTGTCTTGTTGAACACGTGTGCGGCTGTGGAAAGTAGCGGGATGTTGGTGAGCCGGGTCCGCGTTATTGCAATGTTGAAAACCGCCAGGGCAAATAAAATAGACATTATTGGGACTTCGTAACTCGATTGGAAAAGGTGCAATCGTCCAATCCATTGGAAAATAACCGGTGCATTGATTGTTCGTAAATATGGCCTGCCATTCTATGTAAAGTAGTGTTCAAGATGAGAGCCTTGTGTGGGTGGATGTTTGTATGGGGGATCTTGGTAAAGATCATTTAAAGGCGCTGGGGGTTGCCTATTAGGTCCCAATCACAGGACAGTTTCCGAGCCAATCTTATCGCGCAGAAGAGTTCGTGACTGTTTCAGAAACAGATCCATTCTTGTGATATTGTGGTGAACACTAGGCATTGATATTTGGGCATTGGGCGCATGACGAGGTGCAGACCATGCTCAGAGCGAAAGGATATAAGATGCGCTGAATCTGCGGACCTTGACGGGTTGCTGTTTGCTGCTCGTCATGTCTATAGCTCGGCGAACGTGCATTGATGAACACGCTCTAAGAGGAGAGACGCGAGGTATCTAGGGAAATATTTTCACGCTATCACGGAGTGGTGTAGAGTATGAGAAGCGGTTGTTAAATACTGATCTAATAGGATGATAAGAGTGGGAAAGATATGTTGCCTTGTGAAACCTGAAGCATTATAATTCAGAGTTGAGTGGTAAATCAAGAAACGGTAGGGCAAATAACGGATCCAGCGGGAAGAGATGTGCGTTGTTAGATGTCGACTTATACAGGCGCGGATGTCTCAGAAAATCCGGCACAGCATTACGTGACACCCTCCGAAAACATATAAAGACGCCCGCCTCCTTCCCCCATTCTCATCCACCCTCCTCAGTTAATTAGGGAGTCCCATCTAATCTCGACCGGCAATCCTCTGTTATACCGACCCTGCCAAGCCCGCCCCGCCCATCTCAGTATGTTCACAACCCCGCCCCCTAGCACAATACTAACCCTCCATTTCAGCCGCCCACCTTGATGCAAATCCCTCAATTATCCACTTCTCTGCTTCACAATTAGCGCGAGTACATTCCACGTACAGCAGTTGGATGCGCAGCCCACAGGGAGTTGTGGGGCCCACGTATGGCCCTTCACTCCTGAGGATACACCATACCTCGGGTGTGGTGTGAGGCTGGGGCAGAGTGTGATCGCTCACCTCGGCAGGGCGTCCCACGTATTGCATGACCAATGTTGGCCGGACTCTGAGATGGACCCCCATACTGTGCGGTAACTGGAGCTGTGTCGGCCTTGTGCCACCTGCTGTCGACCTTCGCGGGGGCCACGGGAAAGAGACCCCTCTTTGGTTCATGTTCACGCGTGTGGTGGCGCATTTGACTGTTCTGGGTTCATGTACTTGCTCGGCGAGCGGCTCTATGGGATTTGTGAGTTTTGTTTTCTCATCATTTCGGTCTTGGCCTAACCTTCCTTTAGCTCACTCACTGATGTATTTGACTCGCTCCGAGTCAGCGTGGCAGTCCCGCCACCTCCGTATGTATTGCGCAGACTTGAAATGTTGGTTCTGACTGCTTCTGTAGGGTTCCCCACCCGTAGTGTAGTCGTTATTCCATATCACGTTTGCTGCTAATATAAAATCAATGGATTTGTGTGGACCTGTGACATTCTTTGTGTGGGCGCGGTCGATTTCAATGTTGTCTTCCACACAATTATACGGTGATATTAAATTTGTATGTAGCTTGAACCACTTCGGCCCGAATCTGATGTCGATCCGAGTCCAATTGTTCGTCAAGTTGTCCGCTATTCGAATAGCCGAAATATCCAAGATACAGGGAGTTCAAGCCAACACTGGTACTTACCTGCTTGAAGATTTAGCTTCGCGGTCCCAGGGGTAGGCGCCTCAAGAAGCGTGTTGGGCATGAGGCTTGCGCAGCTAATCCACGGATTACTGCCCATACCACTTTGGTTTCTACCTCTCACAAACTAGCAGCCTTCCAAACTAACGTGTCAGATATGAATCAGCCACCCTCGCGCATCGGTATATTTTGGGACATAGGTGCGTCAATATACGGCGGCGCACTGTTATGATTGGGGCTTATGACACCTTCAGAAACTTGTCCTCCACCATCGGTACTCTCTGGTCATGAAGTCGTAGATTCATCCGCCGTGTCGCTCTATCTTTCGGGATCGTCACTATGCTTAAAGCGTATGTAGAGTGCACCCGTGAACCAACGCGGTGGTTCCAGGATCCACTATATGAATCAGAGCTCCAACTATCCGGCGTCTCCCTGACACAATGCCTTATTAATGATGGAACGCCGAGTGGGACAGCTGTAGGTAGGACACTGGCCGGTAAGCAGTTCATGATTACAAGAAAGCGCCCAGGTGGCTTAACTTGGCTCAATTCTGTCCCAGCGGATATGCTTGCCTATGCGATCGACAATCCGGCGCCATCCATCATCATGCTTATTTCTGGCGATCGGCATATTGCCTACCCCTTATCGCTCTTGCGCCTCCGACGATATGATATTGTGGTTATTTCTCCGTCTAATGTTCATGCTGGTCTAAAATCACAAGCAAGTGAAAGCTTTGTCTGGGAACACCATATCCTTGGAGGCGTTAGAGACGCGCAGGATTATCATCCCTCCATACCGAGTACCCAAAACCACAATCCAACGTTATCAGTAAGGAGCTCCGGGCCAGGACAATCTAGTAAGCCTGGGGTATTCAACTCGGCGTCATGTAGCAGAGTTTGACGCGTCTCAACAAGCAGCTCCTTTGGGATTCCGTCCTGCTGTGGGAAGCCAAGATTTCGCGGACGGGTATCGCTATAAAAACGAACGAACGTATATGAACCAAACACCTTCAGCCTTTTCTGCTAGGGAGCAACCCCCGTGGACAGGTAGATCGGAGGCCCCATCACCCTCATCTATCTCGTTCAATCAACGTAATCAATTTGTTCGCCCGACATCCATATACAACGGCTCGGACAACGTACATCGGGGCCTCCCCAAACCCACGATGCCAACTCACATAAACCACCATCTATGTATGACGGGAGATCAAGTGATACCCCCCGCCCAGAAGTACGAAAAGAATCCGGTGAACCCTCGACCACAAATTACGCAGGTGACGCTGACAAGACCAGAAATAATGAACTGGACAGCACGGCAAACTTCCCGTTCATAGAGAAACAACCCTCTGAAGAGGCCTCGAGTGTGGGCCCTGGCGGTGGTGGAGCAAAAACCACAATGCCTGCTACATCGTTCAATGTCGCATCGCCGGCGTTTGTACCCCGCGCATCTGGCTCGGTATCTTCACCAGCTGTTGCAACGGTACCAGTACCACAGACCCCCAAGAGCACAATAACAAATGGGATTCAACAACCTCCCCAGACCTCCGGCTCACAGTCCAACCTGACTCCGCAGGTCACAGGGGGGCCACTCGCAGACGGAATACTCCAACCGCTGCTCAACCGCCTCGAGAGTCTGCATATGGAAGGCAAAACTAGGCCCCTTCGTTCGGTGGTAGGAATGGAACTCTCGTCTAACAACAAGGCAATGTATAAGCAAGCAGGGGTTGCAGGCTTTAGCGAGTACGTGGCCTTGGCAGAAAAACGGGGTATGGTCAATCTTGGTGGAACTGGGGGCTCGGCGTGGATTGAGCTGAACCCTAGCTGGCGAGAGGCTTCGGCGTGGTTATAATCTGGCGTTCAACCAGTTGGTGTGCCCAGCCCTATAGAAATTGGTGGATTTGGCTGTCATTGGCAGTCAATGATTGTAGTATTTTGGACGAGAGCGCTTAGAATTTCTTGTTACTGGTTTGACATCATGTCCACGTCTTGCTCCATCATGTATTTCTAAATATATAAAATTAGTTCAGGTGTACTTCCCGACCATGAAAATTCATTCAATGAGGACCCCGCTAGTCGGATTGAACGGCTGACCTCATCATAGATTCGAAATACGAGTGATGCGCTCTACCACTGAGCTAAGAGGGAATGCAGCGAAGGACCTCAAGGAGACGGGTTACTCCATACTCGAAGGGTGTCCTCATCCTCTTCCAAATCTTCTATCAATGTGGCCAGTCCACCTTGAATTTCGTCCGAGCAATTAACAGCCTCCAGTGATGTGTATATTAGCTCACTACTCATGAGTTTGTGAGGTGGGTGGAGGGAGGTAACCGCGTTTGTTAACTTGGTGAGATCGGGCGGTTGGCAGAGAAAACTGAACTGATGTTGTTTGGATTTTAAAATAAGAACCAAATTTGGTGGAAAAGGGATCACCTCTATCTCCGCCATCTCATCTCCGGACGGGGATTGTTCAAAATCCTCCGCACCAGCCCCCAACGCAGTATCGACAAGAACTTCAGCTTGGCTCTCTGATCCTTTGGGGTTGAGAAGGACTTTGACGGAACCCATCCTTTGAAACATAAATTTTACGGGGGCAAACCGTGCACTGTGATAAGGAAGTTGTTAATAACAAGAACCATTTGCGATTCGGAAGCCAATAAGATCGAACTTGTGTGTGTTGAGTATCTCTCGCAGACTATGAATTGTCCTGTTCGAATTATTGGTTAAACACTCTCTATATTGTGAATTGGAACATCATTATTAGCTGGAATTATTAATGCGTGGACTGACATTATGATGCCAACTGAGCCGAACGCAAGCGCTTCATACGTGAGGTGCTCTCCCCCTTGATCTTTGCCTTTTGTTGCCTATCTCCCATGAGTAATGTAGTACCATAGGACACTGTGGCTCACCTTCGCAAGAGCCTTTTCAATATTTTCCTTTGGCACATCTTGCTCCTTGGCCCACCTGATTGCTGCCGCCAAAGCTAGATTTTTCACGGGGTCGGCCGAACCTCCCGCTAGCCAGAGTGTGGGTCAGATTTTTACTGCTAAGTATCAGCCAGAGATTGCGTACTCCGAGCGGCCAGAACAATATCCTATTGATGGGTATGAGGATCGTTGGGATATAAAAGAGGCAGGATGGCTCACGCGGTTGGCCTTTCCATAGATGGCACCCTTCTGGGCGTCCATGACCCCCTTCTTTTGTTTGATTTTGGACCACTGTTGGTCCCCTCGGTTCAACAGTCGTTCTAGGGATCGGTTGGGGTTCCTTACTTTGTTATGACCTGAGAATGCCACTACCGAATTTGAGAGGTGTCGTAACCCAAGGTCTCGAGATAGTGAGACTAGCTTTGACGTTTTCCACAACTGGGAACGCATTTGGTGAACTTTTAGAGCACTATGTAGGTTGGGAACAAGTCCGGACCGTATGAACCGTTTGCATCTGCTTGACGTCACATTTACAAGTCAATGACCAAAAGGACCCAGAATGCTTTCAAGAGTATATAGCTGTATATAGGTACACATGTAGGGAAGTAGAAAGAAAAGTCGTGAAATCCATTACGGCGATACATACACGTTGATCTGCAAAATCAGTCCTAGTAAGTGGCATTATAGGATGGGTGTCATTCACGTCATTTCGTCAAGGTACTGAATTTGGGGCCCTACTAACACCACTCTCGGCTGCGCGAACGGCGCCCTGCAGATCCAGATGGAAAAATGGCGTGTCGGCGGAGATGACGGGGACAAATTGAGGGACAGTGCGTGGATAGCTCGAGGTGGATGGTGCTCGTTTAAGGTCACCAATTTCCACATCATCCCCGGGGATGTCAACCTCCGTCTGGGAGTCATCATCACTCCTACCACCGCGGTAGGGGACAACAGCAGCAATTTCAGGTGGTACACGAGATGCTGATATCCCGATTCCAAAGCCACCCGCAATTAGTGCACGGCGAATCCACGGCGAAAGGATGGTTGCAAAGTGGAACTAAATATCAGATCTGGTCAGATGCGGAAGGAATCATAGAAAAAAGGCAGACTTCAACGGGATGGTCTGCCCACTTTTCTATCTCGGTACGAGTGTCAATCAAGGCCTGAACGGCTGTTGTGTCAATATGCGAGCTATCAAAGTTATATCAGGAATCAGTTGACTAAACCTCATGGATATGCCAAAACCTACACCGAGGAGAAATCAAGAACAACGGCGTGCAGTACTGGTCGTTTCTCATTAGCGAACTGCTCTTCTATGGAGCCATTCCGTGGCCCCGGGTCATTCCACGGGCGATCGCTGGGTCTCACGTTGGACATATCTCGACCGCGCCGCATGCGTTCTTTAACGTGATCCACGAGGGCAGAATTGACGATGGAGGAGTTAGGGAAGAGATAACTTTCTTCAAATCGATATACAAGAACACCTGGAGATGGTGGCACGACCTTGATATGAGAATTGGTGATGCCCATTTTCTCGAGTGGGAGATACACTTCTCGGGAGATGGGCGTATCATCTGACTGTCCTTGTATTGTGACCTTTCCCAAGAAGGCTCCACGAGGATGCGCAACACGAATCAAAAGTAGGACAATAGAGGCGATGATGGAAGTATAGATTCCATCCTCGATGGATAAAAATATAGTGACGAATACAGCTGCGAGCCATATAACGAATTCCAGAGGGGATACGCGCCAGTAAGAGTATACCTAAATATATATGTCACCAGTTGCAACATTTTCAAATAGGCAAAACCCACCTGAGCCGGGGATGCAACAAGATCGGCCACAGCATGTATGATGACAGCAGACAAGGCAGCATTAGGGATCCAGAAGAACGCAGGGTCAAGCCGTACAAAGCAACTATCACGACTATTGCTGTTATGATACCCGCTGCGGGTGTTCGCACACCAGATTTTGATTTTAAAGCGGATCGGGAAAACGAGCCCGTGGCTGGGTAGGCGCCAAAACAGGATCCAACGGTATTGGTGACGCCAATGGCGATGAGCTCTTGGTTTGGATTGATTTTATAGCCATTTAATCGCCCAAAAGCTATCCATGAACGTTAATTGGGAAGAGATCAAGTATATATATGGAGCACATACATTTGAAATTGCAATATGCTCTAGCAAAAGAATGATCGTGGCGACAGGAAGTTCAGGAGTGAGTTCAGACACAAGTTTTGGGTCAATGAGGGGCCGCCCGACGTGCTTAAGTCCCGCTGGAACGTTTTGTAAGATCTTGATAGGATATTTCCCTTTGGAGTCCTTCCTGTGTCGAGTATATAACCATGCGGCGATCGTCAATACAAGAAGTACAAAAGCATTTCGGAGCACGGATAGAAAGAATAACATGCGTGCTGAAAAGAAACACATGTAAGCCTAGTTTGGGGATGACTTAGATACTGAGATAATGCACTTACCTCGACGGGGAAATCTCTCCGTTAAACGAAGACATATAATACGAATAATATACAATGATGCAAGGCCGGTCAGACCCCACGCAGCATCAAGGGTGGTACGCGGGAGACCTTTGAGTGTATTGATAATGACAAGGTATGTCGCCGCACGTGTGCTTCATCCCCTTTAGCACTCGTTGGGTTATCGACACAGAGCATCAAGACTCACTCAAATCCAGTAATGCCCATCAACCCGGGCACCTGGCCTGCGGCGATACTAATCGCCGAACCAGTCATGAAACCGCTGACCGCTGGAGCCGGAATGAATTCAACAAGCCAGCCAAGACGCAGAAGGCCGACGCCCAGCACAATGAAACCACAGACGAATGCAACAGTGGTCGCAATTTGAGGGCCTTCCCACTCCCCAGGACTCCTTCCTTGAACATTTTTGATGATTTGGGAAACCGTTAGTGACATAACAGCCACAGGCCCAATTGAAACGTCCTTTGAAGTCGCGAAGAACTAGCACCGGCGAGTGAGACTCCCAAGCTAAGAACCAGATATTTCAAACCCACACAATAAATTAACACTCCAACGAATGAAGAGTAGAGACCATATTCAGGTGGGAGAGTTGCTATCTGTGGGAAGGTGATGCCAACATAGTTAGTTCATAGCCAACCGAAGGTGGAGGATTCATGGATACCTGTGCATATGACATGCCCTGGGGCACAAGGACGATACCAACAGTTAATCCAGCAATTACATCCCCAGTAAACCAGCCCAAGTCTGCCATAACCGTCAGAGAGGGCTAGGATAAATGCAAACGGAACTCCTCACTGTATCTCGATATCCAACCAAAGATGGGAAAGAGGCTGACGAAGTAAGACTTGATCTGGAGCCATTACCATGAGCTTCTGGCAGTTGCGACCATAAACCAACTTACTCGATCTCTTGGGTTGCTGGTATATGGCTTCGTCCATTCCGTGCTTGATACCACTGGGACAGCATCTTCAGGGTAGTCAATGATACGTTTCCCTAATCGTTTTGCAGTAGCGGTGGCCATCTTGGGAAAAGGGGGCATAAACCGAGCAAGGAGACTGCTGCCGTTTTTATATCAAATTCCCGGCGAATGATAGCGCCGAGTTGTGGTGGAGCGTCAGAACAGAGTAAGTTTGGCAATGCCACCTTCCAAGAACGAACTAAGTGGACAGAAGTCGACTTAGAATGGTAATCCAAACTTTCCTAGGGAATAAACAGGTGTAGGGACCACATTGGATTATGGAGATGTGCCGGATCTTTAAACCCTTCAACTTTCGTATTGTGGATGAACAATCGCCGAATATGTTGCGATATCCTGTCTCGATTGCGCAATGCCGCTGAGTTTATAGAACACCTGTGACCGGCGGGCCTGCCAGGCCTGGTGGAACTCGGAGCGATCGATTCATCATGACTACGCAAAATGAATACTGAGAACTCTTATTGAATTCTGTGGGTAAAGCGAAACACCATGCGCCGAGGTGTCCGGATTTGAAAATTTGGGATGGAATCGCGTGGTTTCTAAGACCATAGACGTGGGTCACAGCCGTTAGCGTTATAAATATATTTCATCAAATCATTTTTACCTGCCTGCCCTATTGGCGCCAGCTGCCAAAAAGTGTTAATCCTGCAACGGTTGGTAGGCTTCTGACTTTGTTGATCTATTAATGTAATCAATCACCAGTCCCGAGCCAGTAGAAAGTCCGAGGCGGGGAAGTGTGGGGGCTACG